TCATTAAATAAATTTTGATTTGGAAACAGGACAGACTTTCCCACATTTCTGAAATGGCTCTAAATATACTTCTGTAATTTTGTACTATGAATTAATGAGAAGCAGCAATCTCAATGTTGTTGATTATAAAAGCAAAATATTGATCAACTCTAAAAAATGTTGGAAGATGGTCTATGTCCTGTAGTATCAAATATTCAGTCAAGATTTAATTTCTTATATAAAAATAAATAAGCCGGGCGGTGGTGACGCACACCTTTAATCCCAGCACTTGGGAGGCAGAGCCTGGTGGATCTCTATGAGTTCGAGGCCAGCCTGGTCTACAGAGTGAGATTCAGGACAGGCACCAAAACTACACAGAGGAACCCTGCCTCAAAAAAACCAAAATAAATAAATAAATAAGCACACCTGTTTCTCAGTATTCAAATTTGAGTACTTAGTAAATAGTAAATCCATATGCATACAAAATAGCTGATTTAAAATAAGATTTTTATGTTTTTTATTTTTTTTTAAATAAGTTTTTTAAAATAAGATTATCAGTGAAGCTTTCATTTGTATACTTACTTTATATAACTACATATTCAGGGTCACATAAAAACTTGAAAAAAGGGTATCATGAGTAAAAAAGGGCTTAAGAAACCCGGCATCATGTTTGTCTACAACCTACCCATAACTTAACACACTATGTCTATACTTAACATAATACTAACAGTTATTTTACTTAGAGTAGGCGAGATGGCTCAGTAGCTAATAGTGCTTGTCACCAAGGCTTGCAACCTGCATTTAGTCCCCTAGATCCACATAGTGGAAGAGAACCGACTCTCACAAGTTGCCCTTTAATCACTATACACACAAACACAAATACATACATACACACAAATAGATAAATGTAATTTTTTTCCAAATATTTTCAATCATATCAATTGAATCCATGGATGTGCAACCTTTATGTAAGGAGGGCCAGTTTTTTACATATGCTTCTTAATTTATTTAAAGGCCTAGGAATAAGTACCCAGAGCTCAACTTTAAGTACTATTCTTCAATAAAAGGTATCAGAACTCCCAGGAGAAGTGGTTGATCCCAGGACTGGAGTAGGAAAACAGGCTGAATATTACTAGCCTGTGGAAGCAGATTGGAAAAAAATTATATTAGTAATTTTTCAGCTTAGCATACAAAGTAATAAGGATCATTATGACACCTTCATATACATGACATACTTGGTTTTTATTTGTTCCTCTCTCCTACAGGGTTTTCCTGAAACAAGAAAAAGTGGAACTAGAAAAGCTCCCAGTGGCCAAAGCAGGAACAATGTATGCAGAATAATACTATCATATTGGATAACAGTCAGTGGAATCAAATAAATACCCACACCACCATACTAATACAAATAACTGAATTAACAAATTAGGGAGAAAGGACATTACTCCTTTACAGAATTCATAAATGTAAGAATGAGGGAAATACAAGTACCTCCTCAATGTATGCTACAAACTAGAAGAGAAAGTTTGAGGGAAACCACCTATCTGCAATACCTAAGTATCTCCTACAAGATATATATTAATACATCAAAGAGAATACAAAGGGACAAACAGTAACCTCACCTAGAATAACCCAGCAGAAGCCAACAGAACAAAGTGATCAAGGTTAAAATATCATTAGTAACCAAATACATAAACACCATGAGTCTCCTAGAAAAAGGCACTGACACAGTATCATTGTTATATTAAAACATGTGTGACTTCAATCTAATCACAAGAAAACTATTATTGTTATATTAAAACATGTGTGACTTCAATCTAATCACAAGAAAACTATCATTGTTATATTAAAACATGTGTGACTTCAATCTAACCACAAGAAAACTATCATTGTTATATTAAAACACGTGTGTCTTCAATCTAATCACAAGAAAACTATCAAATAAGCCAAATATGAGAGAATTTCTACAAAATCAATGACCAATACTCAAAAAAGTCATGAGAAACTTAGCAGTTGGCCAGGAGTGATACCTCCCGGCACCTGGACCCAGAGGCAGTAAGATCTACATAGTAAGATCCTGCCTCAATACAAACAAACAAAAGAAGCCCGGCACTGTATCACATGCCAGTACTCTCCATATCCTCAGTACTTGGAAGGTGGGAGCAGGAGGACCACGAGCTCATGGGCAGATTCGACCAGAGTTAGAGGCAGCCTAAGCTGCATAAGCTCCTGTCTCAAAAGGAAAAAATTAAAAGTAAAACCTAACCATCATCTGTTGCAACCATCACATTTACTTGCTAATAGATCTCCTCTGGAATTTAGTATTCCCATTAATTCACAAGGCCAGCAGGAAAAAATAAAATAATAATCAAAAGAGCAGCTATTAAGTACCTATTTCCTGCTCCTTTTAGTTTAAAATATAAATATTAGCTGAAATGACTTTGCTAATTTACAATCTCCTTTTTAAATGACTTAGCCAATATTTTCTGTTCAAGACCTTGATAAAATCTAGAAGGTATCCATAACAAACTGTTTTGTGGGTGCATTAAGGCAAAGTTTTGTATATAGCTAAAAAAAATTCTGTTCAGTTGTTTATTCTTTTATGGTTGTCTACCTACAAAATTTCAAGGGCTTGTTCATTGTTTTCTGAAACAGTATCTCCCATGTAGCCAAGACTGGCCTAGAAACCTTGATCATTCTGCCTCTACCTATAGTAACACAAATTTCTACCTTATCCCAAAGTACATCATCAACATTATTATTTTCATTCTAAAACTTCAAACTGTCAGCCAGGTGGTGGAGGCAAACGCCTTTAATCCCAGTACTAGGGAGACAGAGGCAGGTGGATACAGAGCTGCAGAACAGCCATGACTACAGAGAAACCCTGTCTCAAAAAGCCAAAAAAAAAAAAAAAAAAAAAATCAATCAAAAAAAATCACTGTCCATTGCACCCAGTCATTTTTCTCAATATACTAAGACTTTTCACTATTTGTTACATGCATCCTCTACTAACCAGTCCAGCCCAATCAACAACACATTCTCTGAAATCCATTTAAATAAAATGGTATTTTCAGACATGTTTACATTAATGAGCAGGTTAAGTGATGCATTTACATTTGCTTTCCCCTCCATACACCACCAGCACGTCTTCACAGAGAAAATACATGATCAATGGATCAGTGTCACATGTAAATGGCAAGACTGGAAATTTAAGAAGCCACGTGATAAGAACCTTAGGGGAAGTAAAATTTATAAAAGTTGTCAATTACAGGAGGCCTTAATAGGCCATCCATTTCAATGAAACTCACAATCTACCCTATTTTTGAAAGATGCAAAGTTTTCAACCTCCCTAGATAACTTTCTGCCACAAAATCCTGCCATGTGATTTGGGGACTGTTCTTTGTCCTACCTAATGCTGCTTCTTTCTCAAATAATATGACAAAACATTTTTTTTTAAAGACATGGTTTCTCTGTGCAGCTTTGGCTGTCCTGGAACTCACTTTGCAGACCAAGCTGGCCTCGAACTTTGAGATCTGCCTGCCTCTGCCTCCTGAATGCTAGGATTAAATGAGGTTTATTTCTAAGATATAAAAATGTGTGTACAGGCACAGAAGACAAACATGTATAACCTCTGTGTGCATTTACAAATAATACAGGCACACAGGAAATGCACTTTTGCTTGTATAAACACACAGGTGTGGAAACATACAATCAAAGGTACATCACCATCAATTTTTAAAAACTTTGAAACTTAGTTTTCTTCTCATTGTAATTTTTTTTTTTTGCTGTACATAAACACTAGCCCAATATAGGGGACTCATCACAAACAACTATAAAAATATTCAGATGTTAAATTCGAAAAGAAAACTGTTAACATTTGACTTTTAAAGCCACTTGAGCAAAAATCATTTTGGAAGAAGGCACAATGAAAGACAGTGATGGCAGGTACTGTACTGCCGGCGATAATGAACAAGTAATCAGGTTTAATCAAGTGGGCCAAAGGAATGACTCAAATAAAACAAATCATTCTAGGAACAAACAGAAAATGAGGAAGTACCATTCAAGGACGAGCCAAGTACCATTAAAAAACAAAACGTAAAGGGTCTGTTAGAAATATACCAAAATATTAGCCATAAAATGCTATCTCTGGGAGATGGGTTGTTAATTTGTTGAAATCTATCACTCTTGTTACTTGATTACCTATATACACCTTCAGAGTATTACAGACATTTCTGAAACTAACGCAAACGCAGATTCTGTCCCTGCATTCCACAGCTAACATGCATATACATACACATATACATACACACACATCTCTCACACGCACACACATATATAGCGCGTCTTTACATAACCTCCTGAGAGAGGTAAGAACCAAGCTTCTGTGCTGTGTCTCCCGGGAACCTGCCACCCATCACTGTTCCCTGGGATAGCCCCTGTCATCACCACCATCCACCTCTCACCCTGGAGACTACACAATTGCCGCCTCGTCTCCGCTCCAGGTACCCGGGGCTTCAGAAACTGTTATTTTATCGGGTGAGAGATTTGGAGAAAGGTTTACCGAAAGGATGAGCAGCCCCCACCCAAAGGCACAGACGACAAGAAAGACACATCGTCTCAACCTCCACCCCTCCGAAGTCGGCCGGCGACCGGGAGCACCGGAGTCGCGACTCCCCCAAGATGAAGAGCGCGGAGAGCCGCTCCCCGGTGCCAGTCCCGGCTAAGGGAGCAGCGCTCGTTAGCGGATAAAGGGGAGAAGGTCACAGACGCAACCCCTGAGGAGCCAAGGGACGCGGGCAGCCAGCCCCTTCAGGGGCGGGTCCCTCGGCCCTCCCGCGGGGAGCTCGGCTTCTAAGAGGCTTCCAAGGGGCCGGGGCTTCCTCAGGCCTCCGCCTGCCGTCCACCGGGAGCCGGCAGCCGGGCAGCCCTACTCGGCGGGCGGCCCGGGAACGGCCCCGAGCGGCCGGGCTGGGCCAGCCGAGCACACACACGGGAGGTCCAGATGGTGAAAGAGTAAGCGTTACCGTACGCGGGTCGGGAGCTGGCGGCGGTGGGGTGCGGCTCCAGCGCCCGGCACCCGGCTGCCCAGCGGCTGCGCTAGCCGCGTCCTTTATATTTTTGCTGCAGCGGCGGCGACTTGTCAAAGGGAAAGACGTAAGAAGGCGGCGGCAGCCGCGGCGGGCGAGTCTCGCGGGACTTGCAGGGAACTCTCGCGAGATCCGGGGCGCTGGTCCAGCCTCCTCCGGGCCTCGCGCGGGAGGAGGAAGGCAACCCGGGAGGAGACGTGGGGAGGGGGCGCCGGTTTAGGGTCTAAGGGGGAAGCGGTGACAACTTTGGGGGCCGGGAGGCCCCTGTGTGGGTTCTGGGGGACACTCTACCGCCTCATGTCTTACCTTTTGAGTCGCCGCGAGGTCACTTCTGCCCGTGGGGAACTGACAATTGGGGACGCTTCACCAAGGGCGCTGATGGATCGAGCGAGCACAAACGGGACAGTCCAGCGGAGGATCCGACTGTCCCGAGTCCCAGTGCTGCCGGGCCATTGGGGCTGCCGAGGACCTCGAGGAAAAGCTGGGGCCGGGCCGAGTCGCCACACCCCTTTATCTCGGCTGCGCAGAGGGAGCTCTGCGCTCTTTATCTCCCATCACAGTTGGCCCTTCACCTTCTGGCTGGTGAAGTTCAAGCCCTAGAAAGTGTTCAACTTGACCTACTTCTGCCTTTGTTATTTGAGGATCACGAGAAGATTGGCCTTTGGCTAGTGGGTCATGACCCTGACCTATAACAGTGATGCACTTAGAGGAGGACACTGACTGGCTTGGTCATCTATCTGCAACACCTAGCATACATGTAGGTGCTCCATTAAGTTGTTGAATGCCTCTATCCTTAGAACTCACAACCTCACCTTTGTAGCAGCTACCTTCATCAAAAAGTTTTTCTGAGGAGCTGGAGAGAGCGCTCCGAGGTTAAGAGGGTTTACCGCTCTTACAGAGGACTTGAGTTCACTTCTCAGCACCCAAGTCAGGATGTCCACAACTACCTGTAACTTCAACACCTTTTGAACTCTGAGGGAACCTGCACTCATGTGCCCATACCCATACATACACGTAATTTTTAAAAATAAAAACTTTTTTAAAAATTATTTTTGCTGAGCGCCAATTTATATGTAACTAACAGAGGATATAGTGAGGGGTGTGGAGCTGGTATCTGAACGGGGGGCATAGGAAAAATGATAACAACATATACAAGCCATATATGTCCATATGAATGTGTGTGTGTGTGTGTGTGTGTGTGTGTGTGTGTGTGTGTGTTATAAGCAGCTGGTGTGATGTCATATGCCTTTAATCCCAGCACTTGAGAGATCTCTGATTTGAGGTTCCTTTGGTCCACATACGGAATTCCAGGCTAGCCAGGACAGCTTAGTGATACTGTCTCAAAAAAAAAAAAAAAAAGAAAGAAAGAAAGAGAAAAAGAAAAATGCACAGGGATACACACATCTATATGGCATAAACAGGAAACAGCATGTGTATCCCTTTGTTCAATTGGAGACATGTGTGTCAATTTAACCCAAGAAAAAAGCGACAATTCTAGACTCCCAATTTAGTCTGTGATTTTGAACTTCTTTGACTTCCCTGAACCTCACTTCCTAACCTGTCCATTTAGAATATTAGTTATTATAACAGGGTTCCTCTGAGGTGTAAAATATATGCAAAGTTTCAGCTATGTATGAGATAATCACGAAATGGGACTTCTGATGGTGTGTATAAGTTTCTTTGTATAAAATGTGTATTCTAGCGAACTAGATATGAGGAGCAGACAAGCATGGAGTGATGTCATTGTTGCTAGTGCTGCTTATGATTTCAGTGTGTAAAGTTGACTCAGGTCCAACAAACCTGTCATCTTACTTTTCATCTACAGTTGGAGATTGAACCCAAGGCTCCTCAGCTCTAAGTCCTGCCTCTACCACTGAGCCATGACTCGTGCCCCAAGCCCCTTGTCCTTATTTTGATTTCCTGGTGATATAGTTATCTATGTCACTCACAAGCATTCATAACATTCATTTTTCCTTGAGTTTATACAACTGTACTGCTTTTGCTCATTCTGTCAAGAAAGGGACTCTGCTTGCCAGGCTGTAGAGGCATGCACCTGAAATCCCAGCACAGGGGAGGCTGAGGCAGAGGACTTCAAATTCTAGGCAACACAGAAAGTGCTGGGTACCAGGCAGTGGTAGTGCATGCCTTTAATCCCAGCACTTGGGAGGCAGAGGCAGGAGGATCTCTGTGAGTTCCAGGCCAGCCTGGTCTACAAAGTGAGTTCCAGAACAGCCAGGACTGTTACACAGGGAAACATTGTCTCAAAAAACAAAACAAAAAAGGGGGGTGGAGGTGGGGAAGGCTACACAGAAACACTTGTTTTGGGAAAAAGGAAGAAGCTGTATTACAAGTCAAGTGCTCTACCAGCCAGTTAAGGGCTAGGGAGATGGTTCATGTGGTGGTAGAGTGTTTGCCATGGCCAGCCAATATACAGAATCAGTGAGGTATAGGCTTGACAAGAGACTCTGGCTTGAAAATAAGATAGATGGGCCCAGGTTTGGGGAGGGAGAGGAAGGTGAATTGCTGTGATTTTTAAACTAGAGTGGTCTACTTAGAAAGTTTCAGGCTAGCCAGGGCACAATAGTAAGACCCTATCTCAAAAAGAAAGGAAGGAAGGAAGAAAGAAAGACAGAAAAAGAGAGAGGGAGGAGAGAGAGAGGAATGAAGGGAGGGAGGAAGGAAGGAAGGAAAGAAAGAATGAAAGAAGAAAAAAGAAAAAAGTGGAGAGCAATTGAGGAAAATACCTAAAGTTGATAATGTTGGTCTCAGGCCTAAACACACACACACACACACACACACACACACACACACACACACACACACACACAGCCAATTAAGAGGTTATATGGTGATATTTTATTTGTGCTGAAATATGATTTTATTTTTATTTTAATAAGTAAAGTTTGCCTGGAAATCAGAGGTCATATCGAGCCATTAAGCAGAAGTCCAGTGGTAATGGCACATGCCCTTAATCCGATCCCATGGCAGGCAGAGTCTCTGTGTGGTCAAGGACACAGCCAAGCATGGTGACACTTTTAATCCTAGTAGCAACCATAAAGACCTGGAGGTCTGTATAGACAGGCAGTGATGAGGAAGTCATGTTGTTGGGTTTAGAGCCAATGAGAAGGCAGAACAGAAAGGCAATAAAAAGACAAGTCAGACAGGAAGAAACTGGCTGGGGGAAGCTACTGCTGGTGGTAAGCTAAAGCTAGGTGGCTCTTCCTCTGATCTCTTTGGCTTTAACTCTGCATTTGGCTCTGTGTTTCTTATTTAATAAGACTGCTTAGAATCCATCTACAAGATTACTTTCCTCTGGGGATGGAGAAAAAGCTCAGCAGCTAAGAGCACTCACTGCCTCGCAGAGGTCCTGAGTTCAGTTCCCAGCATCCATGTCATGTGGCTCACAACTGCCTGGAACTCCAGCTCCAGAGAGATCTGGCATGTCTGGCCTTAGCAGACACCTGCAGTCACATGTGCATACCCACCCCAGACAGGCACACATAGATATAATTAAAAACAAATAATAGATAGTTTTTAAAAAAGAAACCTCCTCCTTTACCCTCGGTTTAACTTCCTCCCTAAGGGACATATGCAAAGAACTAAATACAATTGAGTCCAATTGCATACAATTATTTTTTCATTTTTATTTATTTGTGTGTGTGTGTGTGTGTGTGTGTGTGTGTGTGTGTGTGTGTGTGTGTGTGTTTGGCCTATGTATACCTATGTACCACCTGCATGCAGTGCTCACAGAGGCCAGAAGAGGACACTGGGTCCCCTGGGAACTGGCATTACAGGCTACTGTGTGGGCCACCATGTAGGTGCTGGGAATTGAACCTGGGTCCTCTAAAAGAACAGTCTTAACAGCTGAGCCATTTCTCCACCCCACATACAATTATTAATTAATAATTAACCAAGGAAATTCTAACTACTTTTCACCATTACGTTGGCTACATTGTTTTCCCTAAACATTCATACTCAAATCAACATTTACTAAAGCCTGATCGGGCATCCTTCTCCCAGCTGTACCTTTTCATTTCCTGTAGATCTCCCCTAGAGAAAAACACTGTACTCAGAAGTGGAGAAGGGCTTACAAGGCCAAGACTCAGGATCACAGGACCTTGTCCTGATAGCTCTGTGAACAGCCCACACTGGCCACACCAGGAGGCAGTTCTTCCTCCTCTCACACGTGATCATCACCATATCATGGCACATCCTGCACTCCCACACCCCAGACAGGAACAGGAAAATCAGAAGAATATGTCATTTTCATCGCGTATCTGCCTATAAGATACGTTTAGCTCTCAAATGAAAATTACAGCTAAATTGAGAGTAAAATCGGAGGAGCAAGAATCCATAGACAAGAGTTGCTGTTGTCTCCTGAAATTGCCACCTGTCTGCCCCCAGCTTCCACAGCCTGTGAATAAATGGGCTTTCTGCTTACTCAAGAGTGTAAGAGTCAAAAAGCCAGATGTAGTGATGCACACTGTTAGTCCCAGCACTTGAGAGGCAGAGGCGGAGGCAGGCATATCTGTGAGTTCAAGCCCAGCATGGTCGACATAAAGAGTTCCAGGTCAGCCAGAGGGACAATAAAACTCTGTCTCAAAAAAAAAAAAAAAAAGTCATGAGAGTTAAATAATGTAGGAAACTGTGAGATGTTTTCACTCATTCACTTAATACCTTCACTGAAGGACTTTTAGCCAGACACTGTAAAAGGCTCTAAACAGACTTTTGAACAAGCTTTAATACCTACCCTCAAGGAGCGTCTGGTCCATGGAGGAAATGGGGAGAATAGATCATTATAGCACCACACCATGATAATACAAATACAAACGTCATCCTAGGGGAGGAAGCCAGTGGATGGAAAGGCAAAGGGAGCTGAAAGAGTGATTGATGGAAGGCATTTCAACAAGGATGATCCATAAATGAGCGCCAGAATGACTTCAGCGAAGTGCTCTGTTGTGAGTTGTGAATTCTGCTTTGTTCTAATAAAACACACATCTCCTAAACCATTAGAAAGGAATCTTCGATGTGGAATCATTACATACACCTA